AGGCCCTGCTGGACCGAGGCTCGGTGGCACGCCACGAGATACGACACACCGTGTTTCCGCTCCGCGGGTCCTCAGTACAGGACCACCAGCCAGAAAGATGGAACCACGTCCCCAGCGGCAACAGGGACGGAGCCGGCCGTCATCGCCCTAAGTGAACTCAGAACCAGAAAGCCAGACCCCGCATGCTCTCACTCCTGCGCGGGAGCCAAGGGGTCGCGAAGGCGGAGACAGTGGACACTGGGACACCGACGGGGGGTAGCTGGGCCAGGGTTCGGAAATTACCTACGGGGTACCGTGTTCCCTATCCGGGGAATGGGCCCTCTGAGACCCGGTCCCCACCGCTGCACAACGTGTCCACGTCACAAGCATGCACACGCGCCCCCCGAATCGAAAATTAAGAAGACCAGAAATCAGAAAAGAAACGGTCGACATTCTGTGAAGCAGGGCTCTCCCTTACCTGGCAGCAAGTACTTGCTAAGCGCTCAACATCAATCCTAGGGGTCTGCTGTCCCGATTTCATTAAGGAGGAATTTGGGGCCGAAGAAGTTAAGTCTCTTACCCAAGGCCACCCAGCTGGCAAACTACCGAACCAAACCCAAGCCTGGCTCTTGCCACAGATCCAATGCACTATGCTATGTTATCAGACTCTCTTTTTCTTTTTTCTTTTTGAGTTGGAATCTCACCGTCACCCAGGCTGGCGTGCGGTGGCACTCTGCTCACAGCCACCGCAGCCTTAACCTGCTGAGCTCAGGCGATCCTTCTGCCTCAGCCTTCCCGGTAGCTGGAACTACAGGCACACACCACCACACCTGGCTAATTTTTGGATTTATGGTAGAGATGAGGTCTCACCAAGTTGTCCAGGCTGGTCTCAACCTGTGAACTCAGGCAATCCTCTCACCTCGGTATCGGACTCTCTTTGTCAAAGAACTCCAGACATTTCAGATTCTGTGACCAGGCTGCCCGCCTCCAGCCTGGCCTGGAATCGTGTTGCTCTGCACCGCCTCCCCCCACACACCCCTGGAGCAAGGGAGCCCAGACAAGGGCCTTCACAGCTTACCTCAGAGTCCCTGCCCCCCGCCCCAGCGCACAGACACACACACACACACACACACACCGAGACTTCTGGGACATTTCAATGCCTGCAAGGAAAGTGGTAGTTTCAGCCAGGTGCGGTGGCTCACACCTGCAATCCCAGCACTTTGGGAGGTGGAGGCGAGAGGACTGTTCTGAGCCTGGGGGGTCGAGACTACTGAGACCCATGACTGTGCCATTGCCCTCCGGCCTGGGTGACAGAGTGAGACTGCAACTCAAGAAATAAATAAAATAAGAAGTATTTGTTGAATGAGGCTTTCACTTTCACCCGAGAAAAGGTGCTTCCTTCTACCCCAGGACCCCCTGAGAGACACAAGAAAGAGTCATAAAAGTTTATTATACGAAAGAAAGAACACAGCTTCTGTACATCTATTTACAGAACAGACGGACTTATTTACAGCCAGATGGAGGCCTTGGTGGGGGGGGAGTGAGGAGACTCCTGTGGCTGGAAACAGGGACCCTCGCTGGAAGGGGGGCAGCAGAAGCTGGTGGGGGAACAGGGGTCCCTGTTCTTGGCGAGCGTGGAGCAGTGGGTGGGAACCTAGAGTTCACGCAGGACCCTGGGGGTGCCAGGGAGATCCTGGCATTGAACCCAGCACATTCTCGGGCTGATCACAGTGTCCCTGGGGTGCTCTGGGGCAAGGTGAGCCCTCGGCCCCGAGGCTGTCTGCAGCTGCAGAGGGGAAGGCCCCTGAGGTCACAGCTCGCTGGAGCGCACGGCAGGCTCCAGCTTGTGGGACAGGGCCGTGAGGACCTTGTCGAACTTCTCGTAGCGCTGGGCCTGGCTGCTGCTGGCGCCCTGGCTGCCCCAGAGGAGGCGCATCTGGAACTCCGTGCTGAACACCTCCAGGAGCTCTGGCCGAGCCTGGAACCCTGAGGGGAGGGGACACAGAGTCAGGGACCACCATGTGGCAGGCAGCTGGGACTCCCAGCCGGAGGTGCAGCACCCTTCAGGGCCCTGCTCATAGGGACCCCCACCCCGGATGCAGTGAGGCTTGTGAATGAACATGACCGTGGAGTGGAACCCCTTTGTCCCGCTGGTTGCAGCATACGATTTTTAAACGACCAGGACGTGAAATTTCAATGTTAACTTTTTGAAGATCTTGAGTGGTTTTTCTTTTCATGTTTTTGTATTCTGTAAATCTCAGTGGTTTCTTTTTCTTTTCTTTCTTTTTGGATTGGGAAGGTTTCAGTTTGTCCCCCAGGCTGGAGCGCAGTGGCATGATCGTGGCTCACTGCAGCCTCGACCTCCTGGGCTTGGGTAACCTCCTGCCTCAGCCTCCCAAGGGGCTGGAACTACAGGCACACACCACCACAGCCCGCTAACTCTTTTGACTTTTTGCAGTGATGAGGTCTCGCTATGTGGCCCAGGCTGGCCTTGAGCTCCTGGGCCCAGACGCCCCTTCTGCCTCGGCCTCCCAAAGTGCCAGGATGATGGCATGAGCCACCGCACCCGGGCACGTTCCAAATGTCTGTCTAAGAAACATAGATACATGTTGTAAGTAAGTGCTGAAAAAGAAAAAGGTGGGAAAGACGCACTAGAGCGTTCACAGCATTTGTCTCTGGGTAACGTACATAATTCTTTTACCTTGCTTTTGCTCGCTGCAATTTCCAATTTGTGAATTACCAGGACTGAAACCGTGTGGAAAGCAGCAGGAGGGGTTGGAGCCACTTTCCCTCTGCTCCTCTCGAGAGAGGGTGCCCGCCTTTCGACCAGACTGAGCTCGCTGGAGACTGGGCAGGCCTGCCTTGGTCCCAGCGCCCCAGGCTGAGCACCGTGTGAACAACAGCCTTGCAAAGCAGCCCTGTAGGCCGCCCACTTCACAGAAGAGCACACCGAGCACAGCCAGGCTGTGTGGCTGCTGAGCTGCTCTTGGAATCATCTCCGATTCCAGTTTGCCTGGTGAACTGGCGAGCGTGGGAAGAAAGAGGCGGGCGGGGAGGGGAAACGTGGCCGGCGCCTGGAGGCGAGGGCAGCAGGGCCAGGCGGCGGGAGGCCCGGGCACAGGACCCCAGACGCCAGTGCCACCCACCTTGCAGCTTGGCCTCCGCGTTGGTGTGGTACCGGCCTCCGTGGTGCGCCACTGTGC